ATGCAAACGAATTCTCCCGAACCCAGCACCTTGAACCTCCCCGCCCTTCCTGCTGGTAGGAATCACTGCTGGGCCACCTCAGACCCCCAGACGGCTCCAACCCCACTCCCCCTCATGCAAGTAAACTTGCCTGGGCCTATAGGAAAGCGGCCTCTGCTCAAGTTGTTTGCAAAGTTCGGCCTCAAGGAGGCCCGCGACGGACCCCCACAGGCCGTGAAAATTAGCCTGGCGAAGGACCCAACCATATGCAGTTGTGGGTATCGCATTCGGGGGAGCCCCGTATGGGGCCACGAAACGCTGTACTGGGTGGGGGGGACGCATGCGAACTGCGCCACTGGGACCTTCGGTGGAGCTCCCTATGGGGCCACGAAACGCTGCCCTGGGTGGGGGAACCGCATTCGAACTGCGCCACTGGGGCCTTCGGTGGAGCTCCCTATGGGGCCACGAAACGCAGCCCTGGGTGAGGGAACCGCATGCGGGCTGTGCCACTGGGACCTTCGGTGGAGCTCCCTATGGGGCTACGAACGCTGCCCTGGGTGGGGGAACCGCATGCGGGCTGTGCCACTGGGACCTTCGGTGGAGCTCCCTATGGGGCCACGAAGCGCTGCCCTGGGTAGGGGAACCGCATGCGGGCTGTGCCACTGGGACCTTCGGTGGAGCTCCCTATGGGGCCACGAACCGCTGCCCTGGGTGGGGGAACCGCATGCGGGCTGTGCCACTGGGACCTTCGGTGGAGCTCCCTATGGGGCTACGAAACGCTGCCCTGGGTGGGGGAACCGCATGCGGGCTGTGCCACTGGGACCTTCGGTGGAGCTCCCTATGGGGCTACGAAACGCTGCCCTGGGTGGGGGAACCCCATGCGGGCTGTGCCACTGGGACCTTCGGTGGAGCTCCCTATGGGGCCACGAACCGCTGCCCTGGGTGGGGGAACCGCATGCGGGCTGTGCCACTGGGACCTTCGGTGGAGCTCCCTATGGGGCTACGAAGCGCTGCCCTGGGTGGGGGAACCGCATGCGGGCTGTGCCACTGGGACCTTCGGTGGAGCTCCCTATGGGGCTACGAAACGTGTGAGGGGTGTGCCGAGAGCAGAGGCAAGGAGGGGGAGGAGGGAGGAGGGCGAGGAGGGGGAGGAGGAGAGGAGGTGGGACGCGGGGCTGTCTCTTCAAAACGAGGACCCAACACCACAGGATGGTTGGGAAAAAGCCTCGGGAGGAAAACGCCGTGCCCGGGCAAACGGTCGGCCCAGACATCATTCGACAGGGAAGCGGACATCATCCGAGATATGTGTCCAATCCGCGGCCCTAGTCTATCGTCCCAGATTCATTTCTCGTGCTCCTTGGGTCGATGACGGGCCCCTGAGGCCGAAGTCGAGGAACGCCTCCCGGGGTAAAAACAATTAGCCTGGCGAAGGACCCAACCATATGCAACTGTGAATACCGCAAGTGTGAATATCGTTTTCGGCGGCGCTACCTCTGGGTAGTGGAGACGCATGCGAACACCCCCACTGGGGCCTTCGGTGGAGCTCCCTATGGGGCTACGAAACGCTGCCCTGGGTGGGGGAACCGCATGCAGGCAGCCCCACTGGGGCCTTCGGTGGAGCTCCCTGTGGGGCCACGAAACGCTGCCCTGGGTGGGGGAACCGCATGCGGGCACCCCCACTGGGGCCTACGGTGGAGCTCCCTCTGGGGCTACGAAACGCTGCCCTGGGTGGGGGAACCGCATGAGGGCAGCCCCACTGGGGCCTTCGGTGGAGCTCCCTATGGGGCTACGAAACGCTGCCCTGGGTGGGGGAACCGCATGTGGACACCCCCACTGGGGCCTTCGGTGGAGCTCCCCCTGGGGCTACGAAACGCTGCCCTGGGTGGGGGAACCGCATGTGGACACCCCCACTGGGGCCTTCGGTGGAGCTCCCTGTGGGGCTACGAAGCGCTGCCCTGGGTGGGGGAACCGCATGTGGACACCCCCACTGGGGCCTTCGGTGGAGCTCCCTCTGGGGCCACGAAACGCTGCCCTGGGTGGGGAACCGCATGCGGACACCCCCACTGGGGCCTTCGGTGGAGTTCCCTCTGGGGCTACGAAACGCTGCCCTGGGTGGGGAACCGCATGCGAACACCCCCACTGGGGCCTTCGGTGGAGCTCCCTCTGGGGCTACGAAACGCTGCCCTGGGTGGGGGAACCGCATGTGGACACCCCCACTGGGGCCTTCGGTGGAGCTCCCTCTGGGGCTACGAAACGCTGCCCTGGGTGGGGGAACCGCATGTGGACACCCCCACTGGGGCCTTCGGTGGAGCTCCCTCTGGGGCTACGAAACGCTGCCCTGGGTGGGGGAACCGCATGTGGACACCCCCACTGGGGCCTTCGGTGGAGCTCCCTCTGGGGCTACGAAACGCTGCCCTGGGTGGGGGAACCGCATGTGGACACCCCCACTGGGGCCTTCGGTGGAGCTCCCTATGGGGCCACGAAACGCTGCCCTGGGTGGGGGAACCGCATGTGGACACCCCCACTGGGGCCTTCGGTGGAGCTCCCTATGGGGCCACGAAACGCTGCCCTGGGTGGGGGAACCGCATGTGGACACCCCCACTGGGGCCTTCGGTGGAGCTCCCTATGGGGCCACGAAACGCTGCCCTGGGTGGGGGAACCGCATGCGAACACCCCCACTGGGGCCTTCGGTGGAGCTCCCTATGGGGCCACGAAACGCTGCCCTGGGTGGGGGAACCGCATGTGGACACCCCCACTGGGGCCTTCGGTGGAGCTCCCTCTGGGGCTACGAAACGCTGCCCTGGGTGGGGGAACCGCATGTGGACACCCCCACTGGGGCCTTCGGTGGAGCTCCCTATGGGGCTACGAAACGCTGCCCTGGGTGGGGGAACCGCATGTGGACACCCCCACTGGGGCCTTCGGTGGAGCTCCCTATGGGGCCACGAAACGCTGCCCTGGGTGGGGGAACCGCATGTGGACACCCCCACTGGGGCCTTCGGTGGAGTTCCCTATGGGGCTACGAAACGTGTGAGAGGTGTGCCGAGAGCAGAGGCAAGGAGGGGGAGGAGGGAGGAGGGGGAGGAGGGCGAGGAGGAGGAGAAACGCGGGGCACCGTCTCTTCAAAACGAGGACCCAACACCACAGGATGGTTGGGAATAAGCAGCTCCATCTCAGACATCTGGGTCCAGGGCCGCGCGTTGGAACAACACATGCCGTCGGGTGCCTGGACAGAAAAAGTCCAGGCATCGCGTGCCTGGGCTGGGCGCCGGGCGCCTTGGGCGCGCTCCTGCGAGAGAAAGGTCCCGTGCAACGGCATGCGGCAGAACATGCAAGCATAGAGGCCTCCTAGATGGGGTCCGAGAAGATGGGGCCGGATGATCTCGCCGCATCGCCGATACATCGGCGATGCGCTGGCGGCGTCGGCGATACATTGTCGACGTCGGCGTGGAGAAAATTGGGCCCCACATCGAGCCGCATCGCCGATGCATCGGCGATGCGGCCCGATCCTCCGACCCCAGCTGCTCCGACCCCAGGTAGGAGGCCTAGAAAGCACGGGCCCGTGGAATTCGTCGCGCGGCCTGAGTTGACGCCACGCACTGCTTGGACTTGCTCCTCGGCGCGAGCGCGGCGGCCTTCACGGTCGGAATGTGCATCCTTCCCGCGCCTCCTCCAGTCCTCCCTCTCCGCGTTCCCGCAGTGCCTACGTAGCTGTGCTCTGGCGCGTCCCTTTTTGCCGCTGCTTTGGCGTCTCACGGCCACTCACCAACAAAGTGCCTCCTGCTGCGCTTCTGAGCCCTGTTGGGACCTCCTGCAAGCCCCCGTCGAGTCCTCAACACATCCTGCGGCAATGCCTCGCAAAACTGCTGGCACATTTCACTCCCTGTGCAGATCGCTCCAAGGCACCGCCAAGTCGATCAGGAACAATTCCAACACCCGCTCGGACCAGCGCAGAACATTCCCCATCTCCCTGGACACCAGCACGGTACTGGTTCGAAAATTTCCAAAGTGGCCCTTTGCCTCCTGTCCAACTCGTGATGACCTGTTTCGGTTACGCGTGTCCGCGCCTCAGCTCGTTCACGCCGTCTGGACGATTCACCACGCTGATCAGCTGCGAGCAGGAGCAGGAAGTGAAGTACGAGTGAAAAAAGCGAACGCATGGGCGACGCTCAACGCTTCATTCGAAAAAAAGAGACAAGGTGCCCGACAAAATCCTCCGAATCCTTTGGGTGGCTGGCGCACGAAGAAATGTTAGCAACTCGCCACGCCAAAACCCGCCCGAAAATTCGCCGGCCTAACGGGCCAGAGGTGTACTAAGATCTCCGGTAACTGCGTACAGTATTTCTACTTCGCGCACGCGCGGAGCGGCCCCTGGGGGTCCCCGGACGAAAAATACCCTGGGCGGTCCACGGCCGGTTCGGGTCAGAGATCCCTGGCCGGGTTGGGTCGGGTGGGCGCCGCCCTCGAGGCTCTCCAGAAAGCCCAAAGACGGGCCAAGATGCCCCCAAGAGGCCCCCAAGATAGAACACGAGGGCTCCGAGATGCCACAAGATCGCTCCAAGATGCCCAAAATTGCCCCCAGACGCCCCAAGAGGATTCCAAAAGCAGCCCCAAGATGTAAAATGTGTTGATTTCCCGTAGGTTTGGGGCAGATTTGGGCGTTCCCCCCTTTTCGGCTTCCCGGACGCCTCAAGACGGCCCAAGAGGGCCCCAAGAGAACCCCAAGAGGGTCCAAGAAGGCCCCAAGAGAGCCCCAAGGCGGCCCAAGAGGGCTCCAGGACCGCCCAAGACGACTCCAAGACGGCCCTAGAAGGCCCCAAGAACGCCCCAAGAGAGACCCCAGAGGGGGAACACGAAACAACATTTCGAGCCCTCGGCCGTAAGCAGCCCCCAGGAGGTTCCCAGAGGTTGCTAAGAGGGCCCAAGAGGCCCCCAACAGGCGGTCAGGAGGCCGCCAAGACCCCCAAAGCCCCTAAAAAGGCTCCAAGTTAAGACGTACCCGAAAGCCTTGGAAAACTCCCCAGAGCTTCCTGTGCACTGCGTCCCGGTGCGGGAAAATGGGCCGTCGGAATGAGCGAGACGATTACTTAAAGACATATACGTCCGCCATAAGAGGCACGCGGGTTGGGTGCCAGAGGCGCCGCCAAGTGGCTCCCGACAAGCAGCGCACCATCCTCTCAAAGCTAGCGCGGCTTCGGGTAAGTGAGCAATTTTGCTGCGCAGACTTCTCCAAGCGCGGCGTCAGATAGGCGAGGTGGCGACCCTGGATAATCAACCCGACAGGGCCTCAACTGGACACATATCCAAACGCGATACTACGAGGCGCTGCTCAAACACCTGCGCACTCGAGAGCACGCGTGCACTATATGCATGCAGGTGGTGTAGTGTACATGCATGGGGTGGGGAACTGCTGCTTAGCGTGTCGCAATGGCGGCCCTGGCGACACGCTATGCCTTGCAAGCGGATGGCGTGTCTCTCCGCTCCGCGGGGCGGGAGGCGGGAAAGGGCTAGGGACGTAGACGCCTATGCCTTGCAAGCGGATGGCGTGTCTCTCCGCTCCGCGGGGCGGGAGGCGGGAAAGGGCTAGGGACGTAGACGCCTGGGAATGAGGAAGTGGTTCGCGTGTCGCACCGAAGCGTGATGGGCCACAACTGGCGGAGCGACTCGCTGAGCTCACCTTCCTGACCGCATACACAATCGCATCTTCCATACACGCGAAAGCACATACGTATGTGTATATATATATACACATATATATATATAGAGAGAGGTATGCGAAACACCCCGCAATTTCGGATTAGAGTGAGGGGGAGTGGCGAGGGGTGGGTCGCGGGGTGGGTCGCGGTCGGGTTAAGGGGTGGGTCGCGGGTGGGTCGCGGGGAGAGCTGCAGGCGAGGACGACAACAACAACATCACCAACAACAACACTCAGTTTAAGACTGTTCGCTCTTACCTGCTCGCTTGCCATTCCACACGTATATCCCGAAGCCTCGGTACCCATCTTACTCGTCTTCGATCGTACCTCCATTGGGGGTATATCTTCCCGACCTGCCGCGTGTAGTTGGCGCAGTCCCTAAAACAGGGACGAGGGAGGAGGGAGAAGGATGGAGCACGAGAGAGATTCGCAGGAGGGGGGCTAGGACAAGAAAAAACGTAGCAGAACCAGACGGGCAGATCAGGCGGGTAGCCCCTCATGGGCGGGTCGGGAAGGCGTGCCCAGGCGGCCAGGTCGAACAGGCGGGTTGCCGAAGCGTGAGCACGAACCGCGAGGAAGTCTGGAGCGATAGCGCGATTCCCAAGTAAATCGAGAGAAAGGCCGGAGCGAAAGTGTCATTCCTAAGTGGAACAACAACAGCAGCAACAACTACACTGACAACAATCAGTTGAATACTGTTCGCTCCTTTCTGCTCGAGTGCCATCCGACACGTATATCCCAGAGGCTCGGTACCCGCCCTCTTCGTCTTCGATCGTACCCCCTTCGGGGTACATCTTCCTTACCTGCCACGTGCATTTAGCGCAGCCCCTAGGACAGGGGAAGAGAGGACGGATGGAAGGGGGAGGGAGACGGATGGAGCACGAGAGAAATCAGCAGGAGGGTGGCAGGAGCAGGGAACACGTGGCAGCGCCAGACGGGCGGGCAGACCCTGGCGGGCGGCCCGAGAACAGTCGGCAAGCGAAAGGGGGCCCCGGGGAGGGAGGGCCCATGGGGTCGTGACCCCACCCCTGGCGGTCCCCCGTGGACAAGGGGGGGCAATGGGGGTGGCCACCTTGTGCCATGTTGTATCCTCGGGGGACCTTGTCTGTCCCGTCGCGGCCCTATCCGCGTCGAGTATGTGTAGAATATCTGTCGGATTCGTCGGATCCGTGTCGGATCCGTGTCGAATCCGCGTTGAATCCATGCAACATCCGCGTCGAGTCCGCATCGAGTCCACGTCGGGCACAAGAAAAGACACCAAGTTGGGGGACAGGCAAGGTCGCCCGAAGATGTAACTTGTGGACAGGGGAAACTCAAGACCCCTCTCCCCCCTTCCCCCCTGTGGACAAGGGAGACCCCCTTCCTGGAGGCTCCCTCCCCGACGTGCCTCCAAGGGCTCTCAGATCTGCTACAAGGCAGCTCCAAGTGGTCACGGAGCTTCCCAGGAAGTCCCCCTGGAGGCCCCCCAGCAGAGCACAATAGGCTCCAAAGAGAGGCCCCAAAAGGGCTCCAGAGCGTCAGCGTCGTCGTCGTTGTCGCCATCGCCGCCGTCGTGATCGTCGTCCCCGTTCAGGGTCGGCGGCACTAGCCGCAAGGCCTTCACACTAGATTACTAAAAAAAGAATAAACTCGACCTCCCTCCAGGATTAACGATCCCCTTTGGGGTATTGTGATTTCATTGTTATTCTGCACACTCGTCCATCCTACCCGTGAAATTCATACGGTCCCAGCCAAACCGGTATCGACCCCCCCCGCCATCCTCTGCAAAACATATTATGCGCGACACTCGTGCATCAGAAATGATCAGTTGTCAAGAATCCCTTGCAACAAAAAAAAACGGAATCCTTCAAACACCTTCGGTTTCGGAAGGATGTCAAAATCGAATTGCCAAAAACATACAAAAACACAGGGTTTCGCAACACTGTTGTTCTAAAAAAGCTTACACGCGCGCGGTCTTGCGAAATCTTAAGAAAACCACCAGATTCTCAACATTTTCAAAAACAAAAACTACCAAACGGGCTGCGCGCGCGCGCGCATGTCGACATCGTTCGATCGCCCTTGCGCGCGTGCCGTCGCGAGAATCCTTTGCACACAACGGGACGAATTGCACGCGCGCGCGTCGTCGCGCGCGCATGCCGAAATCCTTCAAGACAACCTTCGGTTTCGGAAGGATGTCAAAATCGAGTGCCCAAAAAGCATACAAAAACACACGGTTTCGCAACACTGATTTTCAACAAAAGCGTGCGCGCGCGCTCTTGCATCGTCGTCGTCGTCGTCGTCGCCGTCCTCCTTCCTCCCTCGTCGTCGTCGTCGCCGTAGTCGTCCGCTGTCATTCCTCGTCGTCGTCGTCGTCGTCCTCTTTGGCGTCGTCGTCGTTTCCGTCGTGGTTGTCGCCGTGGTCGTCCTTCCTCCTCCCTCGTCTTCGTCGTCGTCCGTCGTCGGCGTCTCGTCGTCGTCCCTCCTATTTCGTCGCCGTCGTCGTCATCGTCTGCCCTCCTCCCTCGTCGTTGTCGTCGTCGGCGTCGCCGTCTTCCCTCCTTCTTCGTCGTTCGCGTCGTCGCTGTCCTCCCTCCTTCCTCGTCCTTGCCGTCGTTGTCGCCGTCGTCGTCCTGCCTCCTCCCTTGTCGTCGTCGTCGTCGACGTCGGCGACGTCGTGGTCGTCGTTCTCGTCTTCGTCGTCGTCGTCGTCGGCGTCGTCATCGTCGTCTGCGTCGACATCGTCGTCGTCGTCATCCTCGTCGTCCTCGTCGTCGGCGTCGTCGTCGCCGTCGTCGTCGGCGGCGTCGTCACCGTCGTCGTCGTCGTTGGCGTCGGCGTCGTCGTCGTTGTCGGTGTCACCATCGTCGTCGTCGTCGTCGTCGTCGAAATCGTCGGAGGCGTCGTCGGTGTCGTCGTAGTCGTCGTCGGCGTAATCGTCGTTGTCGTTGTCGCTGTCGTCGTCGGCGTCGCTGTCGCTGGCCTCGTTGTCCAGTTGGTACCTACCGTCACGGTCTTAAGAGATCTTGCGACCAAGTTGCGGGTGGGAGGGTGGGATGTTTGCACGAGCAGTGGAGAGGACAGCTTCAAGACAATCAAAGTAAAGTGCACCACATAGATAACCCGACATAGAAAAAGCACAGCCGGTATCGACTCCCCCCGCCATCCTCTGCAAAAAAGACTCTGCGCGCGCATTCGTTTATAAGGTCTTCCATAATCCCTTGCCACACATATGACAAAATGTGCACGCGCGCGCGTCGTCGCGCGCTTGCCAAAATCATTCAAAAACCTTCGGTGTCGAAAGGACTTCAAAATCGAGATTCAAAAGCACATTCAATAACACATGATTTCGCAACACTGATCTTACGCGCGCGGTCTTGCGAAATCTTAAGAAAACCATAGGATTTTTTCAACAAGTTCGAAACATCTTACTAAACAAGCTACGCGCGCGCATGTCGAAATCTGTCGAACGCCCTTGCGCGCGTGCCGTCGCGAGAATCCTTTGCACACAACTGGACGAAGTTCACGCGCGCGCGTCGTCGCGCGCGCATGCCGAAATCCTTCAAGGAAACCTTCGGTTTCGGAAGGATTCCAAAATCGACTGTGCAAAAACATACAAGAACACAGGGTTTCGCAACAAGGATGTTCAACAAAAGCGTGCGCGCGCCCTGTGCGCGTGCGCACTTGAGCAGGTTGCACCACACACACATATATATATATATATATATATGGCACAGCATGTGTTGCACGACGTATACTGATAGACGCACACTGTTTGGGGCCCGCGCTGGCTATACATCTGTACACATATACATATGTATATACAAATAGGTATTGGAGCTCACCGGCGGTGGTATCCTCCGAGGACGAACAACGAAATGCGACCGTCGCACCTTACCACTAGCAGACAGCGGCGGCCAGTGCACCACGGCGTGAAGAGGAGCACCGCCATGCAAGACAGGGACCACGACACGACCAGGATCGAGCTCGCCTTTTGAGGCGCAGTGCGCACGCAGCGGATCAACCACGTAGAGGCGTGAGCCTGCGACGGGCGGAACCGTGGTGACCAGGGGGCACAGACCAAGGGACATACCTCGCCACGCAAAACAAAAACAACGCGGTGAGCTGGTGAGGGGCGTGGCCCCCAGTGGACGCCATCTGCCACCAAGCCCTCGGTGGGACACGCGCGCGCAGACGCCGAATCCACGGTCCTCGGGCCATCTCCTCCACCTCCTCCTCGGTATCCTGCTCCAGCCATGCAAGACAACCGGGATCTCTGCCACTCAGCGCCCCCGGTCACCAGGCCTTTTCAAGACACACGAGAGCAAATACGGGCTGTGTAACACTACAAACGCAGCACCGTCAACAGCAGGAAGGGGGCACAGCACGGTGATCGCGGGCGGGAGGAGCAGATGCAGGCTCTGCGATTCAGGCCGCGTGGGCATGTGCCACGCGGCATTCTAAGGGCGCCCGCCCAGCGGTGGTCGCCGGGGTGGCATCAGAGATGGAGACGGCGGAGGCGAGACAAGCAATTATCCCGTCGCTCCTCCTCCTCCTCCTCCTCCTCCTGCTGCTGGCACGCGGCGACGAGGGCGCGCATGGCAAGACCGCAGCCGTGCACAGGGAGTGATTCGTTGGTGCAACATCCACGCACCTTTCACGCGTCTTTTGCGTGGGACCTTGTCGGCCCTGTCCGAATGCTGACGAGCAGGGAGACAGACAATTGCACCTGAAAGGTCTGCGCCTCATCGACGGGTGAGGTGCTGAGTCGCCAATGTCGATTGGCGGCGCGCAGAAGGGGGGGGTAGGAGGAGGGGAGGAAGGGGGGAAGGCTTCTTAGAAGGAGGCTGCTTCTTAGAAGGCGCTGGCGTTACATCTACAGACAAGGCCCGCGCCTTCTAAGAAGCAGGGGTGCTTCTAAGAAGCCTTCTCCACCTCCCCCTTACCCCCCTCTGCGAGCAGCCAATGTCGCGAAGGCCATCGATCGCAAGATGCCCGCAGGTCGCAGGTCGGGCCACCGGGGGAGGGGTGGGGGGCATCGGCAAAAGACGTGATGCGCCAGGCCCGGGGCGGGCCCGAGGAGGAGGAGGATGCGAGGAGGGGATAGAGGAGGACGACGAGGAGGAGGAGGAGTCCAGGGTCTGGAGGCCGTTTTTGTTTGACCGAGACATCGGAGAAACATGATTACTGGGATGGGCTACTTGCTCTGTCTCTGCCGTATCTAAACGAGATGCGCGGTGCTCCTTTAACGGCCTGACGCGACGGGGCGGCACGAACCCCCCTAAAGTCACGCCCCCTGTGAGGCGTGTGACCTCGAGGAGAAGGGCGCTGCCTCGGACTGCGTCTGGTCCCCCACTTCTCCTCCTCATCCCCCATGCCCCGGGTGAACTTGTTCACCCGGCAGGCAAACTTCCCGCGAGGCGTTTTCCCGGCCCACCTCGTGCACCCCTGGCTGCGCAACATGCTGGTCACCAACTGCTGGATGCGATGTTCCTCAAGTTCTCCTCCGCCTGGGGGATGCACTCGTCAGAATCAAACGTCACGAAGGTCTCGGCCCACTGGGGCACTCCTCGTCCGCCACGTCCTTCCTGTCGTTCTCGCGCGCCTCTAGGCCGGTCGTGCTGGGGGGGCCGACCCACCCTGCCATGTGTTAGGCCACCCTCGTCTTCTCGGCCTGGTTGGGTTGGTGGTGCATGTCTGCGATTCTGAAGCTCCGGAGCCAATCCGTCACGTGTTCGAGCTGCTGGGCCTGGGCTGCCGCGACCAACGCACGCAGGGAGCCCCCGCGCGCTCTGCACCGCGCCCTTGGACTGCATTGCCTTTCCGACCAGTGCCGCGAGCATGGCCATGCCCGCGTGCAGGTGCGGGGGGCCGCGCTTGTGGTTCGGGCCGCCCTTGACCGCCGCTGCGTACTGCTTGAGCACGCTCTGGCCCTGCTCCACGATCGGGCTGGCCTTCGACATGGTCAGCGTGTCGAAGACTTCGTTCTCGAGCTCGCGGACGCGAGCCCCCAGCTGCTCCAGTAGCTTGAGCACCAGCTGGGTGGTGCTGCCCAGCCCCCCCTTCTTCTCCTCTAGCTGGATGGCCGCGCCCAACGTCCCCCTCCTCGGTTCCTTGGCAGCGCGCTCGCCACCACCCCCACCATCGCTCACTGGTCCACTGCCGGGGGCCGGAAGCTCCCACGAGCCACGCTTCATGCTCAAGGGTGTCGAACTTTATCGTATGCTCCTCCGGAAGTTCCAAGCCGAGATTTTGAGATGGCCCTAGACAAGATGGTGATACATTTGCCACGCAAATTGATGAGACTGGTCGCAAGTTGGGTACACGTTCGATTCTGGCCAAACCACGGGCTCAAACGTATGGCATTGATCAGATAGGCACCGCTTGTTTTTTCAGACTGCGAACGATATGCTGTTTGGCTCGGACTTTCTTCCCTTAATTGGACCATACATAGAACGCATCGGTTCGTGATCGTCACGCGATAAGCAAACGGGCCCTCCACATGTGAGCCACCTTTCGTGTTGCTATGGTGCGACGTTAGCCCCATGTGCGTTGAGAGTGTCTCCCCGCAGACACCCCCGTCAGCCTTCGTCAAGTTACAAATGAAATTCCTGACCAGAGGAGAAGGGGGAGCAACGAGTTCAGGGCTCCCCATCCACGGACATGTCTAGCAGCAGACCCCCTCCCTCTTCAAGCTCCCCCAATTGCAACAAGTCATTTCGGAACTGCTCTGCCCAAGGGTTCCCATTTTCAATCAGGCCTTATGCGTTGAGGACCTCCCCATTCAGAAGTGGGAGCACCCCACAAATCGCTGCTAGGGTCTGTCCGTGTCGCCCAGGATGCCACACAAGATTTAGCAGCCATCGCAATCTGTGAGACGCAACGCCAAGAAAGTGGGTACGAGGCGAGCTGTTTTCCACACTAACCCCATTTTTCTGTGATTTGTGATGGACAACTCCCTTTTCAGTGAACGTATTGTGCACTTTTCTCCCAAGCATTTTGCGCACGAGCCCTAGGAGGACGACGTCAATGGCGTGCACGTCCTGCTCCGAGAGGGTCCCATTCGCCCCGGAACATGATATGAGCCCTGAAGCGCAGCACCCTGAACTATGGCCCGGAACACCTGGACCTTCAAGTGTAATGGTGTCTTGGCGTACCAGTATCGTCCCAAAATTGCCCACGCAACTCTGGCAGCGGCCACGCGACGGTCCCGCGCGGGACCGAACACGAAGCGATGAACTTGCCGGCCCCCCAAATAAATAACGAGCGTCTGAAACCGTCCGCCCCTCTAGTTTCTTGCCCCTGAAAATCTCACGATCCAAATTTTGAGGTGTTGGGAGATGATGCGATTTTCTTCCTTACCGTACTTCAGAAGTTCCTGAACCTTCTGTGCCAGAATGGTATTCCCAATGTCATCGATAAAACTAGTGAGCCACAGGGCGTACGATTGCCCAGCATGGTGAAACGTAGTCGGAATACTCGTATGCAACGCAACATGCATTCCATTCACTCCATTCGCATGGCCTGTGACAAAAAACCGGGGCCCGGCATGGCCCCCTGGCATAACGCCAAGACGCACCCGCACACCAGTACTCGACGCACGCGACATCTGAAGATGAGCATGCTGCACTCGCTGCGCAGAGAACCCGGCCGTCATCGGGCCCATACAGGTCAACGACTCGAGGCAACATGTTGACCAATACTCCAAAAAGCGTTGGTTCCATCATGGAACCGAGAGGGAGCTAACCATCCCTGCTTCGCTGCACGCCACGCTGCAACTCTCTGTATCAACATCGGTTCCTCGTGGCGACGGCCCGGCAACCCTCCGTAGGCGTACAAGGGCTTCCACTGCGAAGTCGCCTTGAGCAAGCAAGCTCCGCTAGAACGTGCGGCCGACCCCGCACAGCATGACTTCCAGCCTCTCGTCCAAGGCGCCTGGTTTGCCGCTGTCCATGTCAAGCCTCGCTCCCACCCCGCGGTGCCACACTATCGGTGTTTGCCCGCACTGATGTACTTTCGCCAACACAGCGGTAAACGAACGGGTGAACCACGGAACACGGTCAACATCAGCATCAGCTCCAAGCCCTCGGCGGTGTTTGTCTCGTAGCTTCCACCCTGGACGGAACAGCACGCTAATGAGCTCATCCGGCCACGACCACGACACCCACGATGTACTCACCTTGAACTTTTGGGCCCACAGCTTGAAGCACTCGAGCTCATGTTGGGCCCACGTCCAATCATCCCACGCTGGATGGTACGCCGATCCGAGGCCAGGCGGAGGTTGGCGAAAGCCCTGAAGATCAGCGACAAGCCCAAAACATCCGCCGTCTTTTCCTGAGTGGCACAAGTGTTGTTCCCAGTCAGCGTCTGTGGCCGCGTGCACCCGCGCCTTGAACAAAGCGCGACCTTGTCGCCCAAATCCGCGCCGACTGAGGAGGCGAGCGAGCTCCCACACCCTCTTCATGTCCCTGTTCTGCAGAAGTGGAACAAACGCTCGGACAGCTCTGCATCTGCCTCTGCACGCTGCGCCTCCTTCGCCTGCTTAAGACGCTTACTCAACACACGGATCTGCGCACTCAGTCGGACACACTCGTCGGCATGCGAATCACCAAGACGAGTTCGTAAGTCTCGCCGCTGTGTATGGAGGTCGCTCAACCGCCGGCGATCCCGTTGGAAGTGCGCGGGAGCACCGCAGTCTCAGCCAGCGCCTCGATGGTTGCCTTATCAACCGCCTCCCAAAGCATCTCCCAAGCCTCGTCCACACTGGGGGAGTGAAGGGCCTCCTCCAAGTTTACCTCGATGGACCAGCACGCCTCCTACACAGAATCGCAATGGACACCGTTCATGAAAAAATTATACAGCTGATTGCGATCAAAAGGGGCACGATTAACCTGAGGACCAGCGGGGTGAAAATACTGTTTACACCGAACGACAACTTGGAACTGACAGTGATCGTAATGACGGTTCACTGGCACGACCTGCGATTGCCGACCTTCTCGATGGAGGACCTGGCACACCTCAACGCAGTCAGCGAGCGCATCGCTGATTCTGATCGATCTTTGAGCTGCCGCCCCTGGGGCCCCAAAACGTTAGACCCGTCGTCACGAAGGTACCGGGCAGGGTGATCCCTAGATGGTCGATGATTGAACGCACCTTCGTGGACGCGAAATTATCCTGGACCCCCTCAGCATTACCGATGCGAACACGCTCGCACTCATGTTCCAGCACCGTCGAATCCCTCTGGCCGAATGCCCCAGTAACGTCCATCCTGAACACAAATGTGGCCCCCTGGAACGAACTCAGCGTATTCACTGCCCACCCGTACATGCGCTCACACGTCGTATGGTACGCCTGCCGCTGCCTTCCATACATAAGAGGTGGTGGCCAATACATCAGGACGAAAACGAAATGTTCAGGTCCCCGAAGCGCGAACCCACCCACTCTGCCTACCACATCATCAGGTAAGGAATCCTCCAGGGTCTCAAGCCTCCAGGGCACATTCCTCAACGAACGCCCCCAGTGCATTTGAACTTGCATTTTTCTGGGTGGGGTTCAGTGTTACTCCTTGCGTACACGCAGGGTTGCACGTTCAATCTCTTGCGGATCGGCACGACGTTTTTCGTTGCGACGAGCTCCGCGCAGTCAAGGCAGTGTTTCATGCAGGCGTTTCTTTTCCCATGTGGGTCGCGCTCAGGTCCCACCAGCCCTCGGGGCGTGAATGGTTTAGGGTACTCATGTCTCCAATCCCCTTCACCCCCGTCGGGGAGGGGGCTCACTACTGGTCCTCATTGATATACACCCCCTCCCCCATCAGACCGGCGACAAACCCGGGACCATGGCGACACCCTCATCAACATCCCTGGCGACAAAACAATGAAAAGTGCATGTTGCACAAAACTATGGACCATGCGCAAACGCACCGCGATCACTTTGCATTGCTTTTTGAAAGCGACGGCGGGGTAGGCGGCATACTGCCTGCTGTGTGGAATGCCAACACCCCGACCCCTTGCAGATACAAGGCCAAATGCTGTTTGCACCAAAATTTGGAACATGCGCTGCACGCCCCGCGATCACTCTGCAGTGGGTTTTGAAACCGACGGCGGGGGGGCGCATCTTGCCTGCTGCGTGCAATGCCACCACCCCAAAACCATCCCCGTCAAACACACGGTATTAGATGGCGAGAAACGCAATCATATCTAAAGGCTGGCACCGCAAGGCAGGTGGGACGAAGGAGGGGGGAGCTCGCTATGGGGCAACGAACGTGAGAGGGGTGTGCCCAATATGCAGGGGGGGGCGCATGCGGATTCTGCCCCTGGGCCTTACTTGGGGACCCTTTTTATAGGGCCACGGAGTGTCAGAGGTGTATCGAAGTGGGAGGCGGGAACTCATGTAAATCCTAACATTTGGGCCGTAGTTCGGGCCACCGGCTGGGCCACGAAACGTGTGAGGGGTGTGCCGACACCAGAAGCGGGAACTCATGTGAACCCTTGCAGCTGGGCCTTACTTGGGGTTCCATATGGAGCCACGAAGCGCGTGGGGGGGGTCCCCGACATGACAGGCGGGAACCCATGTGAACCCTGGCATGTGGAACTGAGCTGGAGCTCCCTACGGGACCCCGGAACGTGCGAATGGTGCGCAGAAGCGACAAGCTGAAACTTCTGTGAACGCATGCGTTGCGGCCCCAGCTGGAGCTCCCTATGGGGCCACGAAGCGCCTGAGGGGTGTGCCACCATGAAAGGCGGAAGCTTATGTGAACTCTCGCGTTTGGGCCTTCGCTGAAGCTCCCTATGGGGCCACGACACGCGCGAGGGGCGAACCGAAACGGGGACTCATTTGAAGTTTGGCGTTTGGGCCTTCATTTGGGCTTCCTCTGGGGCCACGAAGCGGGCAAGGGGTGTGCCAAACTCCTCAGCGAAAACTCGTGCGAACCCTGGCAGCTAGGACTTAGTTGGACCTACCTGCGGTGCCACGAAGCGCGTATAGGGTCCGAAACAGCAGGCGGGAGTTAAGGTCAACTCTTGCATGTGAGTCTTAGTTGGGGCTCCTGATGTAGCCGCGAAATGTATGATGGGTGTGCCGAAGTTGGATCCGGGAGCTTATGTGAAATTTAACATGCAGGCCGCAGTTGGAGCCCCCCATGGAGCCACGAAGCCTGCGAGGGGTGCGCCGACATGAAAGCCGTAATTCGTGAGAGGTTTGGCACTTGGGCCTTCGGCGGGCTCCCTTAAAGGAGCCACGGAACGTGCGAAACGTGTGCCGAAACAGAAGAGCGGGAGCTCATGTGAACTTTGGAATTTGGGCATTAGTTGGAGCCCCTGGTGGGGCCACGGAGCGTGTGAGGGGTGTGCCGACATGACACGCGGGAGCCCATGCGAACTGCTCCATTTGGGCCATACATCGGGCTCCCAATGGGGCCACGGACCGTGCGAGGGCTGTGCCGAATTCAACGGCGGGGGCTCATGTGAACTTTCCTCAGGCATTTGGGTCTGACTTGGTTGGGACTCCCTATGGGGCAACGAAGCGTGTGAAAGGTGTGCCGAAATGATTGGCGGGAGCTCACGTGCACATTGGGAAGCGTGTGAGGTGTGAACCAGCATGGGACATGGACACTTATGTGAACGTCGGCGTGTGGCCTCACATACGAAAAAAGGCACAGTTGATCAGTGCGACAGTTATCGCCCAATCAGCCTGCTGTGCGTCATGTACAAGATGTTTGCTACCTGTTGTTGGCAAGACTTCAAGATGCAGGCGCCGAAAACCGACTCACAACAACACAGTTTGGGTTCAGGAGGAAGCGGGGCACGTCCGATGCAGTGCACGCAGTACGCTTGTATAATTAGATGTCGCACGCTGACCGCGAAGGAAAAGTATATAACCCTTTTCGCGCCGGACTGGGGAAAGCGCTGGACTCTATTAGCGTGGACGCTCTGCTCGAAGAACTGGAAACAATTGGGGTGTCCAACAATGCGCTTAGCATGATCCAGGAGATATACAGAGACAAAATTTTATCCATCGCAGACGGCCCGCGGATATCGCGAAAGCGGAACCAAATATCCGGCATTTCTCAAGGTTGTCCATTATCTAAATGTCCCTTCGTCATGGTCATGAGCGTGACCATCGAAAATGCAAATAAATTTGATGAATACACACTGAGCTCATAGGCTTCCGGTGACCTTGCGATCCTCCTGTACGCGGAAGACACACTTCTGGTGGGGCGCCACGACAGACCTATGCAGAAGGGGTTGGATGCGATAGCAACAGCAGGCAAAGAAGTCGGCATTGAACTACACTGAAACAAATTCCAACTTCTGCAATCGAGGTGCGACGTTGTACTGCGAGGCCCTGCTGGACACATTCAATATGTGGGAGCACATGTTTTCAGTTCTGGGAGGATCAAGCAATAACTCAGCCGCTGATTTGGAGCAGCTTGGGGCGAGTTCCAGAGATATAGAAGGGCATGAAAACACACGTCGATCCGCATGTCAAGGAAATGGGAAATGTTTGGGGCACTCATCACGACCAAAGTCGTGTATTCGTTGAATTCCGCGTGGTTGAACACATCAGAAAGGCGGCGTCTTGATGTATTCCAAGCGAGGTGTATTCGAAGTATTTTGAACATCCCGCCTTCTTATATTCCAAGACTATCGAACAAACGTGTATTAGAAAAGGCAGGCGCGAGACCTTACAGCGACCAGCTGCTAAGCCATCAACTTCTATGGTTTGGACACGTCGGCCGCTGCAGGGATGACGACGTGCGTCGGAAGCTAACGCTCCAACTGGGGAGCGCGAAACCTGCGATGGATTCTAACGGGCGGGCGCCCAGGCGTCCCAGACATGAGTTGGCGAAACGTTGATACAGCTTGATTCGCAGCAGTTTTGGCCCCGACTCTGCCCTGGTGGATTGCATGGCAGACGAACGAACGTGGCGTCAGTTTGCAACAAACTTTGCGCTTGACGGCCGCGCTGCACACTGGCCTTCTTGCCCTGGCAATGCACGGTTTCAATTGTCCACGCGCCGAATGGCGTAAGGCTTTTCGCGCGCTCACTTAGTTGGGGCTTCCCATGGGGGCATGAAGCGTGTAAGGGGCGAGCCCGGATTGGAAGCAGCAGATCATGTGAAGCGTTGCGTTTGGGCCACAGCTGAAGCTTTCTATGGGGCCACGAAGCGTGCGTGGGGCAAACTCAAATGGGAGGCGGGAGCTCATGTGAACTTTGGCGATTTGGCCCTTAGCTGGGGCCTCATATGTGGCCACGAAGACTGCAAAGGGGTTTGCCGAAATGGCAAGCGGGAAGTAAAGGAAACAGTTGCATTTGGGCCTTCGTTGGGGCTTCCTGCGGGGCCACGAAGCGCGCGATGGGGTACGTCGACCTGAGAAAGCTATCGGCGAGGCGCAGCCGCTGGAAAGCATCCCGAAGCCAAAAAAAAACAGAGAGGATCTGAGAGGACGTTCGAATACCTCGGACCTCCCCCTCCTTCCCCCCTCCCTCCCCCCTCCCCCCCTCCAACTCCCAGACATCCAATATAGTAAAAACGGGGTCCCTGGATGCGATCTACTCCCCAGGGGCGACGGTTCATCCCGAGTCGTTCCTGGACAGCCCTGGGGCTCGCCGAGGGCCAACAACCGCGGGAAAACACGACGGAAAAAAAACACCTCCGCACGCAACTGCGCAAGACCCTGGATGGGGTTGGGCGCCTCCTCCCGGCCTCCACCCCTGGAGCCCACTCCAGCCCCCCTCGCCCCCTCTGCTCCTCCCCCCCCCCTCCCTCCCCCACTGCCTCCCGACTCGGGACCGCTGCTGTTGCCGCCCCCTTTTGCATGTCTCTCGAGGCAGCCCCAGCGCATTGGGGTCCCACATGGCCGTTTTAGCCCGCATGGCCGCTTTGACCCGCATGGCCGTTTTAACCCGCATGGCCGTTTTAACCCGCATGGCCGTTCGCAAGCGGCCTCTCGCAGCCGTCTAAAGCCCTGGCACGGCCGTTACCGTTTGAATGGAGGTGGTCGGGATCGAATCAGCGGCGCGGCGTCGGCCCCTGAGAAGATATCAGTACAATTTATCTCCGCAGCAACGCGAGAC